TAAGCAGGTATTTGTGCTGTTGTTTTTTTACTGCAGGATTGCCTTGGAGTTGGATGTACAATTGATGCAGGTTTTGCTAGCTATAGCAGTGTTTGGAGATACCATTTTGTGTAAAGTTTGTTCAAGTTTTTTGGTTTGGCTTGTAGTAGGGTGTATAAGGTGTGATGCAGACTGATATTTTCTTTTGACTTTTTGTTGTTGTAACTTGTAACCCCAAAAAAGAGAAATTGGGCCTTTGGGTATTTAAATGGATAATTGAAATAAAATGTGGATAATTGAAAATGAAAATGGTTTAGAAATGGACTAGGAAAATTGGATAATTAGAAAATTGGATAAGATTTGGAATGAAAAGTGGTTATGGAAAATTGGGTTTAGAAACATGAATCGAAAAACGATTATGGGAATGGATATGGTAACACCTCCACAACACTGAAAGACTCCACAAATGCATTTGACCGCCACAAATTCTAAACAATAACACAAACTTAAACCTAACTTGAAATGATCTTGATTAGACAACAACATGACTAATCCTCATATGAATAGCGACAACTTTAACTACATAATCAGTACTTGCACACACATTGAACCTGCTAGCCTCAGACGAAACTCCATCGAACGACACTTATCAATCATGAACTCCAAGGGTGAGAAACCCTAATTCTCCAGAATCCAGATTCAGGACTTTTTCAGTCAAACTACTGATGAACCTTGAGAAAACTAAACCTTGTAGTCATTCAGAGAACTGAATTCATGCCTTGATGAACCTCTGATAGGCACTCATTAATCAAATGAAAATTCAACACTTCCGCCTCAAACTTGAGAATAATAACTTAAAGAAATAATTTCTGACCAGAGGACATCCACTTCATCAGACCAATTCTTGTTCAAAACCCTAATCCAACCACCTTTGAAGTCTCCTGAGAACTGAATTCATGCCTTGATGAACCTATGATAGGCACTCGTTAATCAAATGAAAATTCAACGCTTCCGCCTTAAACTTGAGAATAATAACTGAAAGAAATAATTTCTGACCAGAGGACATCCACTTCATTAGACCAATTCTTGTTCAAAACCCTAACCCAACCACCTTTGAAGTCTCCTGAAGAAAGTCATGATTTCACAGATGAAACAAAAAAAACAAAGCTTACAAATTGGTTAGTGATGCAAGGATGATTGACCTATGATGGTCATGTAAATGTTAATAACATATAAGGGGTAAAATTTGGGGTATGACAGAGAGATTTCATGGTTGGCCACCTTGACTCTAGTCTCATCCCACAAGTTCCAAATCCTACCATTATTATGATTAACATAGTTGTCAATCATGCTCCATTTCTTGCCAAATTTATTCATAATCTTCTTAGAACTTTGAGGTTTCACTCTTGTTTCAATAAGAATAGCAATATTAGGGTTCATATCTTTGAGGCAGGAGATAACCTCATGACACTTTCTAAATTATTTATCCCCCTCACATTCCAAGAAATAATCATGTTGGCTCTTTATTTGATCCCCCAGTCTCTCCAATTATAAGGGCATCAAACCCATTCTGGCAGGCTATGTTCTTATGGTTACTTGGGGTCATGATTCCTTTTCCTTTGTTCTTACCATTACTTTTCACATTCTTTCATCCAGATGTTTCTTGCTCATCATTGCTCTCCTTAGTCTCATCTTGACTAATTTAGATCTGAGGAGGTTTGGGATGCTATTGATTTTTGGTCTTGGGCTTGCATTGATGCCCCACCTTTTGACAAGTTTCACAGAATGTTGGTTTCCACTCATACTCAACCACTTGATTCCTTTTATTTACTGCACTATCCTTGATGGTCATGTAATCTTTTTTTTGTGACATCAATTTCAACCAGAATCCTAGCATATGAGACCCTCGGTTTGTTTGCAGTACATTCATCAATAAACAATGGATTACCTAAAACACAACCTATCTTTCCTAAACTTCTAACTCCCCATAGATGTAAAGGGAGGTTGAGGAGTTTAACCCAAACAGACAACATACACAACATATCTCTTTTAAAGTCAAAATCAGGGGTTCAATCCTTCAACATCATTGACATATTTTGGATGGTGTAAGGGCCCTCATAAATATTAGGTATTTATCTTGGTGGTTCCAAAATTTAACCATGTATTACTTTACTGCATTCATACTAAGATCTTTGCTTGTAACATACATGATTATAGCAAAATCCCATAATTTTACCTCAGATTCGATGTCAGCTTCTTCTATGTCCACTTCGATCTCCCCTTCGACTAGGTTTGGAGCTACAAATTAAATTGTTGCCTCATTTGATGACATTTTATTCCACTAATGATATCTACCCATAATTTGGGAGATGGTTCTTCATGGGTTTCCTTTGAGTTAAGATCTCTGTTCACCGTAGTGGGGTTTTTAGGTGATTTGTCCTATAGGGTTTCCTTCTTCTCATCACAACTCTTCATTGAGTTGGATTAATTACTCACAATTGATCATTTCTCAGAATCATCTTTCCTAATACTTTGTTGCAAGAGTGTGGTTAGAATCAATGGTGATGGAACCTTGTTCTTCTTTGGCCTCCCTCTCCCTTGACCCATAGTCCTCCAGATCAACCAACTTAAATCTCTTCAAGTCCCTAGTCTAAAGACTAGGAATTTAAACCATCTTGAATCAATTCACCGTCGATAACCAGGAGCTCTGATCATTAGGTCTACAGTCGCCAGAAATTGCACAGTTGACCAAAAATTGCAAGAGAAGAAATCGCCGAAAATTTATGTTTTTTGTTTTTTATCTCAAATTATTTGTCTTTTAAAAATATCAATTTGATATTTATTATTTATTTCCACTAACTTGCCTTTATTTATTGAATTTAAAATTCTATAAATACTCCACTGCCTATTACTATTAATAAGGTTATTTTTATAAATGATATTTGTTTTATCATTGAAATCAACACAATTAATTATTATTTTGAAAATATGAAAATCTAAAAAAAAATACCTATTGTGAAATTTGCAATCACAAAAAATAAAGGCATGATTCCTTTTCCTTTGTTCTTACCATTACTTTTCACATTCTTTCATCCAGATGTTTCTTGCTCATCATTGCTCTCCTTAGTCTCATCTTGACTAATTTAGATCTGAGGAGGTTTGGGATGCTATTGATTTTTGGTCTTGGGCTTGCATTGATGCCCCACCTTTTGACAAGTTTCACAGAATGTTGGTTTCCACTCATACTCAACCACTTGATTCCTTTTATTTACTGCACTATCCTTGATGGTGATGTAATCTTTTTTTTTGTGACATCAATTTCAACCAGAATCCTAGCATATGAGACCCTCGATTTGTTTGCAGTACATTCATCAATAAACAATGGATTACCTAAAACACAACCTATCTTTCCTAAACTTCTAACTCCCCATAGATGTAAAGGGAGGTTGAGGAGTTTAACCCAAACAGACAACATACACAACATATCTCTTTTAAAGTCAAAATCAGGGGTTCAATCCTTCAACATCATTGACATATTTTGGATGGTGTAAGGGCCCTCATAAATATTAGGTCTTTATCTTGGTGGTTCCAAAATTTAACCATGTATTACTTTACTGCATTCATACTAAGATCTTTGCTTGTAACATACATGATTATAGCAAAATCCCATAATTTTACCTCAGATTCGATGTCAGCTTCTTCTATGTCCACTTCAATCTCCCCTTCGACTAGGTTTGGAGCTACAAATTAAATTGTTGCCTCATTTGATGACATTTTATTCCACTAATGATACCCATAATTTGGGAGATGGTTCTTCATGGGTTTCCTTTGAGTTAAGATCTCTGTTCACCGTAGTGGGTTTTTTAGGTGATTTGTCCTATAGGATTTCCTTCTTCTCATCACAACTCTTCATTGAGTTGGATTAATTACTCACAATTGATCATTTCTCAGAATCATCTTTCCTAATACTTTGTTGCAAGAGTGTGGTTAGAATCAATGGTGATGGAACCTTGTTCTTCTTTGGCCTCCCTCTCCCTTGACCCATAGTCCTCCAGATCAACCAACTTAAATCACTTCAAGTCCCTAGTCTAAAGACTAGGAATTTAAACCATCTTGAATTAATTCACCGTCGATAACCAGGAGCTCTGATCATTAGGTCTACAGTCGCCAGAAATTGCACAGTTGACCAAAAATTGCAAGAGAAGAAATCGCCGAAAATTTATGTTTTTTGTTTTTTATCTCAAATTATTTGTCTTTTAAAAATATCAATTTGATATTTATTATTTATTTCCACTAACTTGCCTTTATTTATTGAATTTAAAATTCTATAAATACTCCACTGCCTATTACTATTAATAAGGTTATTTTTATAAATGATATTTGTTTTATCATTGAAATCAACACAATTAATTATTATTTTGAAAATATGAAAATCTAAAAAAAAAATACCTATTGTGAAACTTGCAATCACAAAAAAAAAACTACACACTATAAAAAAATAAAATAAAATATATATATATATATATATATATATATATATATATATATATATATATATATATATATATATATATATATATATATATATATATATATATATATATATATATATATATATATATATATATATATATATATATATATATATATATATATATATATATATATATATATATATATATATATATATATATATATATATATATATATATATATATCTATCTTAAAAGTATGAAAATGAAAATTGATATTATAAATAACATTTTAAATTGATTCGAAATAAAATATACATATTAAATAACTGCAAATTTTCTTCATAGATTTGTCTGTATTTAACGAGAGTACAATGTTTTGAACATAATCCCTATTAATCACTTAAAAATGGCTGAAAAACATGGATAAGCTTGATCCAACAAAGCAAAAGAACAAAACCTTCTAGAAAACGCGATTCTGGTAATAAGCAGCCGAAAAGTTAAGTTCAGTGAATTGTAATGAGATGCAGAAATGGAAGTATCTAACCGATGTTGAAGGGAAGAAGAAGCATGACATTCACATGCTTATACCATTTTACCCATTCAACATCACTCATTCATCATAACTATAATTCCCTTATTATCCCCACCTTCTCTACTCTCTACAACCATAAACCTCTCTTTCACTTCTTTCAGGGTATTCTCAGGCCTACAACAATTCGATCATTTTCTACCACAATCACTTCTTCGTTTAAAACCATGGCGAGTTTCGATTCTGATTCCATAACTTATCTTAAACAACAAGAAGCCGCTGAAATTGATGAAACTCTCATGGGTCCTCTTGGCTTCAGCGTCGATCAGCTCATGGTTAATCTTCATTACATTATTTGCTTCTTCATTTTTATGTTAATTCTTGATAATTTCGATTTTGATTTTGATTCGATGTGTATTTGTAATTTTCAGGAATTGGCTGGTTTGAGCGTCGCTACCTCCATATATGAGGTTAATTAAGTGCTTATAGCATAATTCTTTATGTATAAGTTATTGCTATAACAAAAGATACAATAAAGTCAAACTGTTTTTATGTAAGCTATAAGTTGTTTTCATAAGCTATCTTAAAAGAGCTTATGGAAATAAGCTGAAAACAACTTATGGATGTCTCATATGTGTTTATGTCAGTCAATAGATAAGTTCGATTAAGTCATTCCAAATAGGCCCTCTCTATAATTCGATTGTCGAAGTTTCTTGAGTTGTTTTTTCTTTCACAGGTTTATAGACCGGGTGAGTATAGCCGTGTTCTTGTTCTATGTGGTCCTGGTAACAATGGTGGTGATGGTCTGGTGGCTGCCCGTCACCTACATCACTTTGGTTATAAGCCCTTCGTCTTGTATCCGAAGCATACCCCCAAGCCTCTTTATGCTGGGTTAGTTACTCAGGTACTATGGAACTCAAGTTGGCCAGATTTAGAATCACTCTGTTTTTTTTTTTCAGTTCTTATATCACCATGAATGACATTTATTTCTTTGGGTTTAATATGGATTACTAGAAATCTTATATGAAAAATTGATGCTGTATGTAGCTTGAAGCGCTGTCAATCCCTTTCTTGTCGATAGAAGATCTGCCCTCTGATTTCTCCAAGGACTTTGATATTCTACTAGATGCCATGTTTGGATTCTCATTTCATGGTACTTTTATATTTTAAAATAATGATTGTTTACAATTCTTGTATATCGACTTCATTCTCACTAATGTTTATAAAACTGGGGGTTGAACATCATACGATGATACCATTATTGCTTTTGTTATATGCTTTATTTTCTCCTTGAAAATTTTTTATACAGACTTTTCACTATGGAACTTGCTTGTGGGATCACTATTAGAATATATATGAATTTTAGCTACAATTATGATCGATAGTGTGCAGCAGTCTTTCCAAATCCGTTTGTAAAGTTTGGATTCATTGCACAAAGTTATTTAAATCAAATTGCCACGGCTTTGAATTCTGAAATACTGTGTAAGTTTTAGACAAATAAATCCATTTGATCTGATCTTATTTGAATTTGTTATCTTTTAATTATCCAGGTTCTCCAAGGCCTCCCTTTGATGATTTGATCAAAAGACTTGTTTCTTTAAGTAATCATAATCAAACAGGCCAAAAAAGACCAGTTATAGTCTCTGTAGATATTCCCTCTGGGTGGCATGTTGAAGAGGGAGACGTTAATGACATAGGAATTAAACCTGATATGTTGGTATGTTTCTAAGGCATATATCTGTTTAATTCTTTGTTTATTTAAACATTGGAATTTAGATGTAACATCCTAAGATATTTCGTTCAACTGTAAATTGTGTTTCGAATGAGAGGCAGACCCACTGATATACCAATTTTTTGTAGATCTCTTTGACAGCACCAAAATTATGTGCAAAGAAGTTTGGCGGCCCTCACCACTTTTTAGGAGGTAGATTTGTCCCACCTGCTATTGCTGAAAAGTATAAGCTTATACTTCCACCATATCCTGGAACATCCACGTGTGTCCGAATCGGAAAGCCTCCTCAAATTGATATTTCAGCTCTACGAGAGAACTATATCTCTCCAGAATTTCTTGAAGACCAGGTGGAGGCAAATCCCTTTAATCAGGTAATGTTCATGTAAAATAAATTGTTTATCATAAGGTTGCTGCTGTGCTTCCTTTTCCCTGTTGGTAGTTAATGACTTGAGCATGATCTAGTTTAGTTTCCCATTTCGAGTATTTTTAGTACTGGGATCTTCTATGACTACTTGTCAATCTATATCTGTATTCTGTTGTATTTGTTACCTGCAGTTTCGTAAATGGTTTGATGATGCACTGGCTGCGAGTTTGAAGGAACCAAATGCTATGGCCTTGTCAACTGTAGGGAAGGATGGGAAACCGTAAGATCTGCCTCTATATATATTTTTTTTTGTTAAAATACTGTCTTAAGATCAGTTGGCTCTTGTACAGTGATAGATCACTAAATGTGTATTTTAGGACAAATAAGAGGGAGGCCCTGTCTAGAAGGCCAGATTAGTTATTTTTAATTGTTGTGGGATATTTTTTAAATTTTTATTTTATTTTTGCAATTATCGCAGTGGATATGGCAAGTATCTTTGTACCCAGCCGGGCAAGGCCTGATTAGTTATTTTATTTTGTCGTAAGTTAGTTATGTATTTGGTGTGGCAGTTATTTGTGTAATTATATACATATAGTCGTGTAAAGAAACTATTGGGGGTGTAAATTCTTTCAGTTTGTGTAGTCTTTGAAGGAGGGAACTCTTTGTAGGGGGAAACCTTGTGTGCTTGTGTGTTATTGTAGTAAGAGCTATAGTTCTGAATCTGTGCTATTTATACCAGAATATTTAAAATCCACATTTTCCTAATTGTGTTTGAACTAGTGGTTATGTAAAGTTATTTGTACCCAGTCTCTGATTATCTATTTTTTATTTGTTGTATGTATTCGGGTATGTATTTGGTGTGGCAGTTATTTCAGTGGTTATGGCAGCTACCGGTAGTTAAATATACACATGTAGAGTGATTATGGGTGTATTTCTTATCGTTTGTGCAGTGTTTGAACTTTGAAGGTGGAAACTCCTAATTAGGGGAAAACCTGCATATTGGCATATTATTGCAAGAAGAACTGTAATTCTAGTTTATTTCAGAATAATCAATAGTCATATCTTCCCAATTCTGTGTTTGAATTCTTGAGTTTGATTAAAATGAATTCATTTCCCACCATAATATCATCAGTATTGGAACATTTTCAAATTAATCTACTTTCATTGGCTACAGCTCATCACGGATCGTATTGCTAAAAGGCTTCGACAAGGATGGATTTGTGTGGTCAGTAATAGTCTTCTACTTTTATGTTAGAATTGCTTTAGCAATGTTGTACAGAAAATTGTTATTGTGTTCACTTACTGCAGTTGCTTTGTACAGGTTCACGAATTACGAAAGTCAAAAGGGACGTGCATTGTCTGAAAATCCACATGCATCACTTCTTTTTTATTGGGATGGTTTAAACCGGCAGGTGACTATTGTTTTCAGCCTAGCTTGCCGCATCTTCAGATTGATTTGTTTGTTCATAGAATTGTTGGCATTAATTTTTCACGCAAAGGAGTATCACGTCTTCTCCAGGAAAGTTAATGGCCACAGCAGACCATTATGTACTTTCCTAGGATGAAAATTGGGGATAAGAAAAATATTTGATCTTTATAACTTCTGAAGAGAATGTTTCAGATTGTGGATGATTAAAATTCTTTTAGATGATATAACTTGGGAATTCAGAATATCTATAATCAACTTTATTTATGAAGCTCGCTGCGTCCATGAGAGTATCAAGACAAAGAAGTGACATAATGATAGAATAATGCTCTGTATCAGACAAGTATGTGTGTGCACGCATAAGAAACAGAAAATGAGTTAGGAGTGAGAAGGAATTAATAAAAGTTGTTGTAACTGTCCATGAATAGTTGGAAACAAGGCTTGTTAATAGAAGAATATAGTTGAGATGGGGCGGCTGTCGATTTTGAGAGTTAGGGTGGAAGGATTCTTGTTCCTTGAAGTACCTAGGTGTATATTATATCAATTTCATTCATTCCAGAGGAAATATAGAGCCTGTTATTTTCATTTTTCTGTTGCATTCTTTTTCTTTCTCTAGTGTTCTGGGCCAGCATTTTTTTAGGCACAAATTCTGGTCCAGCTTTATTACATGGTAAAAGCATATTTTGGTATTGCAGCTCCTAAATTTTTAAGTAAAAAAGAAGTGTTCGTATTTGATTCCTTGACCTTACCTAAATCCATGGAGAACCTTGTCACCTCACCTCTACTTTTAAAAATCTTGAGATTGGACCCGCTTTGAGGATTGGCCATTTTTCTTAAGTTCGGCCGGGGTCCTTAAGGTCTTGATTCGGTAATGTGTTGATTTGCTATTAATTATTTGAAGCCTGGATACATAAATATCGTTTTTCTATATTAATGAGTCTTGCTCAGACAGTTGAAAATATTAGTCAAGAAAATATTGTGCAATATTTTAAATTTCTGGTGAGGGTTCTGTGAAAATGTATGATATGGTTGGTGTCTTCTTATTTTTGTTATGCTCTTTTATTGAACAAAATAACTAACCCGGTTGATCTTGATCCTTATTATCTTTTGTTTCACCTACTAAAAGTTACATTTGATTAGTTATACTACAGAGTACAGAAAACTTCCAAATTTTTAAAATGATAGCTAGACATGATATATATCTTAGGACAACCAGCAATAGAACTGAACCTAGATGAACTAAAGTTCATTTCTGCTGTTCAAATTGATAACTTACTTTTTGTTGTTATTTTGCATTTGCGGACTTGTGTTATTGGTAAAGAAACAAAAAGGGTCTTTTTTTTTATACATCAGCATAACTTCTATGAATATATATACTAGGGAAAAATTAATCAAAATGCAGTAGTATTACTTCTAAAAAAGGATTGCTCGAACTATGGTCTGTATACCAATTTAACATGATGGATCCGGCTTTACATTGCATACTTCATGTCACTCTGCTTTTGGAGGCTTGCTTCATAACTCATTGATAATAATAATCACGATATTTAAGAAAAATTTCTAATTATTTATTGTTGATTCGTTTTTTATTGTTCTTTTCTAGGTACGTGTGGAGGGGTATGTTGAGAAAATTTCTGATGAGGAATCAGAGCAATATTTCCATAGCCGTCCTAGAGGAAGTCAGATTGGAGCAATAGTCAGCAAGCAGGTCTACTTCTCTTTCATTCTACTTAATCTAGGCTCTTTTTTATGACAATTAATTAATCTAGTTATTGTATATAGAAGTCAAAATTAATGTAAACTAATATTTTCAATTTCTTGATCGTTAGAGTTCTGTAGTGCCGGGTAGGCATGTTCTTCATGAACAATACAAAGAATTGGAACAAAAATATGCTGATGGGTAAGTTATTTAATCAAATCATTTTGCCTCGATATTGAGTTCTGAATTCGGATACATATGTTAGTCTTGTGTGATGGTTGATAGTTGAGAATTTTATTATTCCACAACTCCTCTTGGCCTGGACATGGACATCTGATTAGCTTTTGTCTCATTTGGCCAAGACATTTCCTCTTTCTACCATTTGTTAAATTAAGGGAATCTAGAAATAATTGTTATATTTTCTGCTGCAGAAGTGTGATCCCTAAACCTAAAAACTGGGGAGGATACAGGTTAACGCCACATCTTTTTGAATTCTGGCAAGGACAGAAATCTCGCTTGCATGACAGGTGGTTGCTCCCTCGTATTTGATAGCTTGTTTGTTTTCAAATCGCCTTTCCTTATAGCTTTTGAAATCCTAGTCAGAGGAGTATCACTTCCTTCATGTTTACCTATAACAGGACTCAATGTGAGGTAGATTTTCTTTGAAAAGTTTCAATTGATATCTATGTGCATGTCTAATTGACAGGTTGCGATATGTTCCCCATGATATCGATGGACAAAAGCTGTGGAAGATTGAGCGGTTGGCTCCCTGATTATTTTACTTATTGTTCAATATCTCAACATGTGAAAAATAAGAGATTAACTTGTTTCTATATATTTACATTTTTTTCCAAATACATATATGTGGTTGTGCTGTATCATTTTTTTCTACACTTTGGTTTCTTCATCCTATGTAAACTCCGCGGGCTCTTGGTTTTTAATAGGAGATTTCAGATAGATGCTGAAAACACATCAAAATTGTATATTTGTCATTTAAATGAAAAGGCAAATCAATAATGCTGAAAGAAGTTTGGTTTATGCAGTTGCATTGGAATTATCCAGTGTTAGGTATGCTATATTATTAACGGATTGTTTTTGTTAGGGACGAGTTCTTCGGCTGAACACAACCTAAAGTGTGGAGGTGAATAAGCAAGTATACGTGCTGGCTGTGTTTAGCCTCTATCCTATCTTATGCACCGAATATTATTCACTGATTGGTAAAGAGGATTTCTATTTGCATCCTATGGACTTCTTACACATCATGTGACTTTTCTTATATGCGCATAAATTTGGGAGATATATAACTGGACGCACTAAAATTCAATTGAATATTAAAATATTTTAAAAATATATCTATGGACGCATCAAAACTTAAGTGAACGTTAATATCTCAGAGATATATCTCTGGAACAATTTGGAGCATATTATCGCGTCAGACTCTTCTCCTGTCACACTTTTTCATTTTCATTCACAAACCTCTTCATTTCTCTCATTCCCAAATATCTCTAACTTCACCAAATTTGATTTCATTCGCCTGATGCTCAAGTAATTATCAAGTAACATTCAGTACATTATTCAACATCTTTTAAATCATATAATTCGGGTAAGTTTTTTGAGTTTTTGATAAATATTCGAGTATTATTGTAAACAAGTTAGAATACATTATTAGGTGTAGAAATGTTTATAAATCAGCTGAAACATAGTTTAAAGTAAATGTGTATATTATTTGTTGGCTCAAATGGAGGATTAAGGTTTCAAATTTCTCATTCTGAGGGGCAGAGGACGCCATTGCCACGACATTTGAGTTTCAGACAATTCTGAAGACACATCTTCGGAAAAATTCAACGTTTCATGTACTTTGGGTGATTTCGGAGATACATATCCGGAATATTTTCATAGTTGTATCTCCATAATCACCCAGAGCACATGAAACATTGAATTTTTTTTGAGATGTTTCTCCGAAATTTTCTCGGTCTATTTTTTTCTTTTTGTTTTATAATTTTCTTGTTTGTTTTATTCATTTGCATAAATTCATTGTACGATTAATTATACCTTGCAGACATAATAGCTGACAGAGCCGACCGATTGAGGCATGAACTGGTTGTCCAACACACATCTGTTCGGCGGGAGCAGAGGCAGCAGGTACCTCTGGTCAGGGAAAGACGTCGATTGCTGGGGCACAATGTACTCTTGAGATTCAGTCCACTCCTGGGGCTCGACCTTCGCCTCAGGCCACTCCATCTACATCTCAGCCCACTCCTAGGGATCGGCCTTCGCCTCAGGCCACTCCATCTACATCTCAGTCCATTCCTAGGGATCGGCCTTCGCCTCAGGCCACTCCATCTACATCTCAACCCACGCCACCTTCTACTTCTTCTTTCGGCAGGTCACGGAATGCACCAGATGACGCACCACTTCCCTCATCCTCCCGCAGGTGTCGAGATGCACATGTGCCACCTCCTGTTGATCCGGTGCCACCTTTGGAGGGCGAGGTTGCTGATGATCCTGATGCACCGATGCCACCTTCGGAGGGTGATGTTGCTGATGTCGAGGCAAAGACTTTCAGAGGGGGTCCATCTGATATGTCCCTACTTCCTATGTATCTAGACCATACTGCCATATATATTTGAGACGGAGAGATAACATTAGCCACATTGTTACTATATTATTTTTACGTTAATTTAAATTGTTGACATTGATTATTTCTAACATTGATTCTTATAGACATTGATTATTTATGGAAATTTGTAGGTGCGTGATCCCCAAAAGTTTCTGAACCATGGGCGGAAGATTGCATTGCATCAGCCAGATGAATAGTGGTTTTAGTCGGTTATGACCGCTTTTGGGTTGAGTGACTTATGCTTGACCGATTACAATCTGGTCAACCACGGGATGCTTAATGCATTTGTGGAGCGATGACACTCTAAAACCTCTTTCTTTCATCTCCCGCATGGTGAGATGTCGATTACACTAGATGATGTCTCGTCTTTGTTGCATCTACCGATCAGGGGGAGATTCCTCCATCATGGTAGGATGACCAAAGACGAGGTAACCAATATGACGGTTGAACATCTAGGGGTTGATCTAAGGAAGACGCTCAAGAAGGTAGATATGACCAGGGGTGCTCATGTTAGGTTTTCGTTCTTGAATGAGAAATTTGATGAGGCGCTCGTTGCTGCAGAGCAAGCTGATGGTGATGCCGAGGGGGTGACCATACACAAAACTCATGCTCTGAGGGCATATTTTCTATTTTTAGTTTTGAGGGCATATTTTCTATTTTTAGTTGACATTATTATTTGTTGTGGACACGAGTGCCACCTACACTGATGTTGCGTACCTCCGGTACTTCTTGGATCTCACACGGATCCAAGAGTACAACTGGGGGTGGCTTGCCTTGCTTATCTGTATTCAAAGATGAGAGATGGATGTCGATGGACGATGAACCAGACCACAAGCAACACGACACTACTGGTGGTAATAATTTTTTATCATTGAATGTTTTTTTTTTATCTTTTTCATTTCATATTTGTGATAATTCTTGATCCCTGAATGCTTTTTATTTTTATTTCAGACTTGGATCCTCCAGCACTTCCTGCGCATTGCTGGCTGGGTGAGTTGGGATGAGTATACCGAGGAGATGCCTCATGCCTGTGCTTTTATCCCGTTGAGAGGGAACCAGACGGTCGAGCCCTTCAGAGTCTATCTTAACTGCTTGGTTGCTGAGGACATCCACTTCAAGTGGTACGTGGATCATCGTCAAACACAAAATTTTGACGACATGTCGCTATACTCCGGATGGCTGGCCTGCGGGTCGTGTATCATTGCTTATCATCTGCCCGAGCGCGTCATGCAGCAGTTTGGGTACACCCAGACCATCCCTAGACACCATGTTGTCTCTGCTCCTCCTGCCTTGACTCATATACAGATTGGCGAGATGTTTGTTGATTATCAGAGCCATCTGGTGTCGGATGAGGCTCGGGCTACCATAGCACCGAATAACTAAAGTTACATCGACAGATACATTAGGTGGTTTTTCACTATCTCACATCCGTATATGGTGCCAACTGCTCCAAGAGATCCGCCGAGACCAGCTCATTAGGAGATTCTTGAGGAGCAACAGGTTCAGCTGGATCATACTAAAGATATCTTGCCTCGTTGTCGTCGTATAATGGAGATGGCGTGGGCAGACATTGACGGGGGTATCTTCCTTAAGGGGTCTGTTGTGATGCGAGTACTGGATTACATTATTTAGGAGGCACCTGGGGGATCGATGGCTGAGGAGGAAGAAGAGAGGTTGTCAGGCACACCCAGTAGTTGTCTGTATTTATTTTATTTCAGTACTATATTTTGTACGTTTTTCTTGACATTGTTACTAGGGGTGTTCGCTGTTCGGTTTGGATTAATTTTGAGATAAAAACTCACATGATCCAAATATAAATTTACTTGCGGTTCGGTTCAACTTTGAATAATCGATTAGAAAAATTTGACCCGATCCGATCCAATTTCATGTGATTTAATTTGGATCAGTTTTTGGATATCCAAAATACAAGTTATATTTTTTTAAGATTCTAAAAATTATAATAAATAATAGATTTGATATAATATATAACATATAATATATTAAAAATTAATATTACAAAATGAGAATGATAGATTATAGTTGAAACAAATGAAATAATAAAAATAAATAGATTAAACTAAAGTAAAAAATAGTATTAAAATAATAAGTATCATCAAATAATAAATTATAGCACCATATCATATTAAAAATAAAAATAAAAATATATACATGTGGTTCGGTTCGGTTTGGATTGGTTTTGAAAAGTCAATCTGAAATCCGATCTGAGCGGTTTTTACAAAATGACATCCAAACACATCCAATAATATTCAATTTTTTGCGGTTTTCAATTTTTTATAGATTGGTTTGCGGTTTTTATTTGGATCAGTTTGAATTTGAACACCTCTAATTGTTACTATATTTTGGATTTTCCTGACGTATGACACTCTATTACTATATTGTTATATTATTTTGGTATGTCTGTTATTTTATAATTCATTTGCGAATAAATACACAATGCATTTTTATTAAAAAAAACCTGTTCTGGTACACTTCGGAGATGTATCTTCAGAAATTTCTTGTAGATGCATCTCCGAAAATATTCAAATGGAAATGGGCTATGGGAGATATGATGTGACCATTTAAGGTTTAAATTGTTTCGGAGATATATCTCTGGAAAACTATTAACGTTTAGTCAACCATAGGGCTCATCTGAAGATATATCTCTGAAATCTAGGGATGTATGTGGAAAACCGCACGATGGGAAAGAAATGCATGGGGTGCAATAAGAAATTTCCTTGGAAAAAAATAAAGAGAATTGCTCTTTCCACCTTTATGTCGGTTCTCTCACCACTCAAAAAGTCACAGTTGCATATTCGTACGCATCTTTTTTAAGTCAATCTTAAGATTAAGTTGAAGATACATTCTATTATACTAAAATTTAATCTAGAGATGCATCCCCATATACATAAAAGATATGTCAGAAGATGCAAAATTAGTGGGTGCTTTGGAGATGCATCTTCAGACGCTTTTGTTTCATATCCCGCATCAGATATTTCCCTCTTATTCCTTCTTCATTTTTTAAAAAGTTTTCAAAATAAATCATTAGAGTTATGCAACATTCAAACTTCTCATCCATTAATTCAAGCTTCTATCATTGGAGCTCTTTCTCCTCCTTTTCAACATCTCGAACATTCAAACTTTTACTTCTCATCA